GTGAAATAATGTATAAGATTGTTTTAGCGTGTCGATCACAACTGATTTACTTAAATTCAGCTGGCGATATTGTCGTTCTAAATGTAATCGAATAAATGTGTCTTGTTTGGTTCATTTCAATCGAGTCTGCTGTGTCCATTCGCTCCGGCCCCACAGCAGCAATCACAGAGTCATGGCTCTGCCCAGACATCTTAAATGTGAAAATAACTCCACTAAATTATGCTATTCTCTGCAACTTAGAAAGACAAAGGGAGGGGAGGGGGGAGTGGCGCTTCTAATAAGCAAAAAATTAAGTTTTATGCCGCTACCTGATGTTAAAGGAGCAGAGGCATATTCTGCAAGCTTATTCCGTTGCTATGCAATATTTGATGGCTGTGTTTATCGGAGTCTCTCTGCTGACACTAACACCATGCTTTCGCTATACGAATACATGCATCATCATTTTAGACAAAGCTGAGTAATCCTTCTTGGGGATTTCAATCTATCAGATATCAATTGGTTAACTATGGCTCATCAGTCTACCCATTCTGATATTGTAACGGGTCCAAGAGGAGAACCGCTATAAACTAGTTTATTATGGGCGAACTTGTGCCCTGAATATTATGTGCAAAAAATGAAAGAGTCCGCTAGAGCATTTCAAAACAAAAACTGCTAATCCGCCAACACTCCTTCTTTTTCTTCGCAGCTCCAACCCACACTGACTCCTGCCCGTGAACAAGAGGCATAAGTCGTGCGGCCACAAGCAGGAGTGCGCACAAGACTGTGGAGGCTGATTCTTTATAATATCGGATAGTGTAATTAGTCTCTGTGGCAATATTATTTTCGATATCATGTTAGATTTCAACTTACACCAAGCAGTTAATATGTCTACATGCTATCGTGGTTCTAAAGGCAATACACTAGACCTCATTTTTTTAACCAGTCCCTTTCTTACAGAGAACATAAAGATAGAGGTAACCGACGGAATATTCAACCATAAGATGATGACCTGCAGTATACCAGTCTATAACAATTGTTCCAAAGGTTTGGTGGTAAAACCCTTTCTCGACTTTCACAATGCTGATGATACTAGCATTATCAACCATCTTTCGCACGAACTATCCTCCTTCAGTGAAATTTCCTGCCAGGTCTCAACGGATGTTGAAACATAATAGCATGTGTTCAAAGATATCGTCTGGCAGTACATTTACAAGTTTGTACCCAGTAAAACAAAGAAGATGAAGAAACACAACCCATGGATAACGCATGACATCATTCATGCAAAATGAAAGGTGAAGCGACTACGAAAATCCCTCAAGAAAAAATTACTACGCCAACAAAAAACAAATGCCATAATTAGTCTGAAAGCAACTATAAAGGCCGCAAGAGATAATTTCTTTTCTCCCAAACTGAACAACTTCATAAAAACATCACCTACAAAATTCTGAAACTACCTCAATCTTAAGTCATAGGATGAAAAAACGGTTTCCCCGTGCGAAAGCCTAAGGCAAATGCTCTTAATAATTATTTTCAATCTGTCTTCACAAGTTATCATGGCAGTATTCTTCATCTGGATGCACCTGCTAAGAGGCACATTGAACCTATCAATATTCCGGAGTTAGGAGTCCTATATATTTTCTGCTTAATTTATATGCCAAGAAAGTATCTGGGCATGATAATATTCCTAACGCATTTCTGAGGAGATATGCTGAATGGGTTGTGAAGTATCTGTGTTTATTCTTAGTCAAATCGCTATCAACTGGTAAGCTTCCAAAAGAATGAAAGACCCCAAGAATCACACCAGTACACAGATCAGAAAATAACTACGATGCAGCTGATTTCAGGCCTATCTCTATAACAAGTGCAGTTTCTAAAATACTGAAACACATTATTCTCAAACACATGACATCCTTTTTAGATGCCAAATCTTTCCTAACACCCTTCCAACATAGCCTTTGCTGCAAATTATCTACGGTTACTCAACTTTTGGAACTTGTTCATGACTTGAGCATTGATTCCAGAAAACAAATGGACCTTATACTATGAGATTTCTGAAGGCCTTTGACTGAGTGACTCATCAAAAACTAAATTATAAACCTAAGTTGATACTAGGTGACTTTCTCATAAATTACTCGAAGTTTGATTACTTAAGCAATCATTTACATTTGAAATTGATGGTCAGTCGTCTGATACTGCCAAAGCGATATCTGGCATTCCACAAGCTTGTGTTCTGGCCCCGGCTCTTTTTTTTATTTTCATCAACAACCTACCTGCTAATATACATGTCAACATCAGATAATTTGCAGGTGACTGCATTGTATATAATGCGATTGACACGCATGAAGATCACGTGACCCTTGAATACCCTTTACAAACAGTTACGAAATGGTGCTCCAACTGGCAAATGACATTAAGTGTGAAAAAATCAAGTCTACTCATTGTCTTGAGAAAAAAGAATAAATCTTTACTTTTGTACAAAATTAATGACACTGTATTAAGTACAACTAATCAATATAAATACCTGGGGTTAATTATATCTGAGGACCTTAGATGAATTAATCACATGAATGGCACAACAGCGATCGCGCTCCAACGACTTTTTCATCCGAGGCCGCCTTTGGTTAGCCCCTACAGATACAGAACTGCTAGTTTACAACGCATTTATCAGACTGATACTTGAGTATGCAAGCGTTGTATGGTTTCCTTTTTCTAAACAAGACATCCCTAAACTTGAAGGAGTACAAATAAAGGCAATCAAGTTTATTTTTAAGAAATACTGGCCTCATGATTCCCCTAATGTGTTGATAGATCTCCATCAGTGCCGAGCAAAAATACCTAGATATAAATTCATGTACTTATCCATAATAAAGTGAATATTGATGTCACTCACCTCATAACAAGTTTACAGACATGACCAACCAAACATAACCATACTCAGATGCTCATAGAATACACCTTTCATACAGACTACTTCAAGAATTATTTTTCCCATTGGCCATAAGACAATGGAATAAACTTCCCTTAGACCTCATAAAAAGCACATCACTAACACACTTTTTAAATGCACTTGAATTTTGCTAGACAGTTGTTTTCTTGTTCTGTTTTGTTTTCCTTTATTTGTGTTGTTTGCCATGTGAGACTATGTCTGTCTGCATTCTTCTTCGTCTATACTACTGCCGAAGTCCCACACTATGCACTTGATGCCTCACATCACACCACAGCTCCATTTTATAAAATTCTTACACCATGGTCTCACAAGTTTTTCTTTTGTTCCCCCCCTTTTTTCCCCCCCACAATGACTTATTAAGAGCCTGTCTTCTCCTTATTCACATGCTACAATTACTCTTTTTTTGCGCTTTTTTAAAATTACTTATTGTTGTTATTGTATCACAACTTGTCAAGTTTCTATTGAAGTACTGTATATGCCCTTCTGCTATAATCCCTCTGGGATTGGCAGTATTTAGAAATAAATAAATAATTGTTGGGGTTTACTGTCCCAAAACCTCCATATGATTATGAGAGACGCCATAGTGGCGGGTTCCAGACATTTCGGCCACCTGTGGTTCTTTTACGTGCACGTTATTTTAAGCGCACGGGCCTCAAGCACTTTCGCCTCCACTGAAAATGCAGCGGCGGTGGCCGGAATTCGACCCTGCGACCTGTGAGTCGGCAGCTGAGTGCTTTAGCCACTAGCCCAACGTAACAGGCCAATTCACAAGAAAATCTATGGTTTTATTTTGACTTTGCTGAAGGATATGATGCAATAAATACAATCAAAGTGGCTTATGAGCATGAAAAAACATTAATGCACAAGAAAACGTGAAATGCAACTCGCTTTTTATGAGTTAGCAGCTGATAATTCACCGCTGATGTTCTTTTCCGTGCGTTCACAGTCTTCTACATTCAGCGAAAAATCCTTGTCGTAAAGAGGTTTTTTTTTTTTCAGCATCACTGCTGAAAGCAACCTTATAAATTCGCTCCGCCAAACGACTTGACAACACCAACAGCCCGTCCCCACATTTATCTGGGTGCGGAGAACATTTTGCCATCCCATCAACAAGCAAATCACTTGCAGTGTGCTGACATCTATCAACAAACATACAAAAACAAGCAGCATAGCGCTGGTCAACTTGAGCACATCGCAAGCCCGTGTGACTTTCCATGTGTAATGTTGTGGGATTCATGTTCTATAAAAGCACTGACAAATGCAATATACATGTAAAAGAAGGCTAGTTTCGACTAAATAGTCCAGACGATAACGTTTAACTAACCTACGTGTCTACAAGAAACCCCGCGAAGCTGGTATGTGTACTCTGCGGGCTATCATTGAAAGCGCAAGTTATTTTCATGAAAAAAGAACTTGATGCGTGATGAGAACGAATGCGATTGATCGTTTCATGGAAGGTTCACTTATGCAAGAAAAGTGGAAAGTGGTAGTGCTCATTTTTTGCTAATGCGTTAGCACTGGAGCAAGCACCGCTGAACAAGAAAGCGTCTGCGTATTGACCATCCTTGAGAGGATGCTCCCGAATTTCGCGTGGCGACGCAACAGTGTATGGGCATTGCAAATACTTTCTTTAGAATTATTTTCTGTTACTTCTCATCAATGAAGGTAGTGTATTTAGCCGTGCTCATTCAACTGGCTCTGGTTCACAAGATATGAAAGCATGGGTGAAAAATTGATTCGCAACATTTCCGCCGTTTATTAGAATAATAAGCCAGTGCTGCAAATCCCATGCGCATATGCTTGAATATGGGTATTTTGACAGAGCTAGAAAGTGTGCATGTTTCCTCAATGGGGTCAAGGGGCAGTCTTTCTCCGCTGGTGAACCTTCCGTGTTGCCTTTCTTCACATAATGAGTGGCCACCTTCAACAAAGCTTGTTTGAAAAAATACCCGAATTCTTCAAAGCCAGAGGTTTAGATCTGCAGCAGCCATAAGCGCAAGGACAAAACAGAAGAATGAATGCCGACAATGAAGTGTGAAACTCGATTGTCTTAAAATGAGCAGCAAAAGCTCACCTGGGGGCCCCGAGGTGGCTGGCATTGGCATGGCAGGAGGGGGAGTAGCCACATGCGCTGGATAACCACTACGGTTCATCCTGCAGGAGGAGAAAGAACAGTGAATTGTCGTACACTCTCACATTCTACTTGACCATGAGAAGAAGCTGGCACTCTTTTGCAGCTTTACATGCAACATGTCAAGAAAAAGTGTAACCAGATTGTTGTTATCTGTTACTTCATTTCACAGTGAAACCTATAGGTTCTTCATCAGTTTTCGATTCAAAGGAAATGTTGGCAATCCAGAAAATAAGGCTACCAGAGCCTTAACAGTGTCAATCTTAGACAAGGATGACAAAGGATCAAGGAAGCACCATGTGTAATAGAGGCGACAAAAACAGAGATTAAATAACTGGAGGGCCTGCATTTCAACAGAAGGATCCATTTTTGTCAAAGGTGCCATGTCATGCTTAGTTATGCAGGGGTTGATTGTTGACACCGCTGAATGAAGAGAGAAAAGAAAAAGAAAAGTATCTTGCATCAGCTTGTGGTGACCTTACCTACAATATTACCTACAATATTGCACAGACAAGCAGAACACAAACCTCTGGCACGTAATGGCTTACTTATAAAACGTTGGCATGATCAAGACAACGCAGCTAAACCTGCAGTGTTTCTTCAGGTAAACATAAGCAAGAGCAATTGCTCAAACAGGTTTTTACATTTCTTACATAAAAATTCCATGCAGCATATAAACGTTTACAAAATTATTTAAATATTGCTTTTACTGCAAGAGCAAAAGAAAAAAAAAAGAAAGTTGAACGTGATTGACCTAGGACTTTAGCGATTCCTTTGGCTCTGAACTCGTGCACTGCGGCACTGGCACTTTCCCCTTCTCCTACAAGTGCAGTGGAAACATGTGGTATAGGGTAGTTGCTGTGAGCCGTAACAAGTTGATGGGCTATGAAATAGTAACACGGCAAAAACAGCGAAATTATCCTCACTGTGATATCTGGCAACATCGAGAAAAAGGGCCTCTAGTTTGTGCTGATCTTTTTTTTTTAAATATAGCCTCGTCTCTCACGGCTCTTGAACCCTTATTGAGCCTTGGGTGGATGTTTCACGGGAAGGTGTCAACCATGAGTCCCTACAGTGATTGTTATGTGTGTGAGAGGTGCGCTCTCTGGTATGGAATCGCACAGATCATGTTGCATTTTAAGCAAATGTTTTTTTTTTTTCAAAAATAAATCAGTTGTTAAATTACACTAGTCTTCGTCCCCATTTGTATCGCACAAAGTACTTCCATGAATTCTTTCCAACTAGGCCAGCTAGCAGCTTTGCTTCATGATGCAAATTTTGATTTACTGAGAAAAGTGAACTTTTGTCGCCTGTCCATGTCTAGGCTGAATACCCGCTTTGATCTCTGGCTTTGTTGATGAAAGTCTCGTATTTGGGCCGCTAGGTGAGCTTCTATTAGCTTGTTGACAGTGTTGTGAAGTCCTATCTCCAGCAGCTTCTCGATGCTGGTAGACTGCAGAAGGCCAAGCACACGCCTGAGGCCTGTTTTGATCAGGGAATTGAGTTCTGCCTAAGTCATAACATGACTTAGAAAGAATGTCTGGTAAGCTCTGATCAGACTGTCCTCTTTGACTTGAAATGCCGGCTAAAGGTCAAAGTACACTACTGGCCTGCCCAGTGGGCTTGTTGAGGATCTTGGAGTTACAGCCTCTGCCATCAATGAGGAGAGCCCCTCCTTGGTATAGACTATCCATTTCTAGCTCAAATTTCTATCGCCAGAGTTTCCATAGGAGTAAGATTTCCAGCCCTTTGTCTAGAGTGTAGGTATAGCAGTAGCTCTGGTTTACCACAAGTGAGCGAGTTCAAGGCTCGTGTTTGAAAGAAAGTCTTCCGTAGCCTCCAACACGCTTTGTAGGGAGTGTTTGAGCACAACTAGCGAGCCGCCCAGTGGCCAGATCATCATGTTGTTCCCATAAATGGCGTGACCCACATTTGGGGTGGCAGCGAGGCAACTGGAGAGCTTGTGCATAGGGATATTCAATAAAAGTGGGGAGAGCACAGAAGTCTACCAGGTGCTGCAAATGCCTATAGTCGGGTATAACTTAAGAAGGCAGAAGAGGCCCCGCCCAGATGACCGAAGCGCAGCAGCCAATTTGCTTCGCGACTAAAGAAATAGTCCCGTTTAAAAAATTGTGACTGCTTCCAAAATGCGTATTTGTAGGTACAAATAAAATTTGTGTATTGTGAGGAGTGCTTTGGTAAAACTGTAATGATGGAAATGCTACAGCATGTGCCGGAACGCGAGAGAAAAATAACTCCATGCCTTCTACAACGCTGTGCATCGTCTGCTACAGAGCAAGATCGACGGCATCGGCTATAATTGTAAAGCAGTCGCTGGTTTCATAGCATAAGATTTTGTATGCACTTTTTGTGTGTTTGCACAAGCTTTCTTTCTTTTTGTGTTAGGCTTTTTTTTTTTTTCAGTTGCGAACCTGTAATTTTGTGAGCTCGCGCATGTTGACGCACGGCATTTCATGCCAGAGTTATTCAATTATACGAGTTGCAAAACCGCATTACCAAATCTGGACATGCTGTTCACCCAATTTTTCGGGAGTTAGCTGACCTTCATGCCACCTAGGAGTGACAACACAAACCACAAATAATGCGTTTAATAGTGGGCGTGCAGATCAACAGGTGGCGCGGACAATCTGCTCACTCCACACAAGGGGGCCAATGAAGTGTTTGGTTTCGATACATGGAGCCTATGGAAAGCTTTGCAACTCATATGATTGAATAACTATGTTCTGTGCAAGTTCACTTAGGCGCAAATAAGACACCATGAAACAAACATGTACGATGTTTGTTTGCATCGATATGTCGCCGCAGAATCCCGTTTCCAGACGAAGCGCAGCACAGCATCACCGATGTTCGCTGCAATCTCTCTTTGTCGGCTCATGGCTCAGAACAAACACACGCGGCACAAATTGTGTATCGTAAGCTCACAATAATATTTCGGCCATGACAGACCACCACACATAATTCGAATTCACTCTGACGAAGGGAGACGCACACAGCTAATGGTACTCGGCCCAGTTCGAAGCGAAGGCGGCCATGTTAGGCATGTTCTACGTCGGCTGGGTCCGCGGCTAGAGTGTAGTTCGGCGCATGATGTCACCTGAAGTGCACGTATGTTGGTTACCTTGGTGCATACGCCTGTCTGTTTCTGTACACGTCTCATCCTATTGCTGCCAGCCGAGCTGGGCCAAGTAAAACACCAATGTCCTTGCTAAGAAGAGCGAATTTCACTCAGAGTACACAGTTATGTTGACATAGAATGATGAGACTGTTTGAGCTTCATGGTTTGTGCTTGGCCACTATGTTTTAGAGAATGCATGCTTGACATTAATTATAATTGCCATGGTTTTACTTGCCAAAACTGTGATTATGTAGTACCTCCCAGAGTTCATTAACAACCAGCTAAATCTAAGTACCTTTAACATCAAATACACATGTGCTACTTTGCAAGGGCAGATTGAATACAGCCTTGTGCTATGTTTTCAATACATTCCGTAGGGGGGGGGGGGGGCGTTACCGTTCAGGAGGGCTTGTCCAAACTTGACTTTGTAATGCCAGCATGAACCTACACTTGATGAAACACTGTTTGCACATCAGGGTACTGAATTTTGTTGTCCTCAGGAGCTTCCCAAGTGAAAAAAAGCATCAAACGATGTTTTTTTACTACCTAGACCAAAAAGTTATTTCCGAGCAACCTGTCAAACTTGGCCGAAAAAATAGTACTGGGAACAGATGCCATGCCTGAACCAGTGTACGTATTGGATCACACAATAGAAACCCTTCCCTCCGTCACCTGTCAGAGAAAAGCAGAGGAATTAGCAAAGAATGGCACGAGCTCATGCACTGAAGGTTATTATTGATGCCTTGGACAAAACCTGTCGATACCTTAGAGACTGACATTACAAGCACCTGAGCACATTGCGTCATTTACCAAAGGTGCCACTCTACTCAAAACATTTGAAGGCTCAAGTGGGAAAGGAAACTGTAATGTGGAGTACAGTCGTGAGGGCCGTGGTTGCCATAATTGTTGCTGGTGTCAAACACTTGCCCCAAATGTGGCGTACTGCTACAAAAACAGCAGGCAAATACTTTATCTGGAGAACAGTTGCGGCTTTAAGTAATGCACTCTGCAAGACTCTAAATAGTATTTATTTCTTTTGGCAGTTGGGCTCAATATTTTGCAGACAAACACTGTATCTGTGACTCACTGACGGGAAATGTTCACTTGTTTGGCAGCCTGAACATTGCCCTTCTTTTGTTCAAGCGTGTTGAAACCATGGTCAGGGACCAGCAAGCCCGAACACTGCTCCAGAAACACAGACTGAATGTTCGTGCTGTCGCCAAACAAGGCAATCTGAGGCTTTGTACGGTTACCCCACAGAGTAGAATCATAGCTGACAAAGAAAACTCACATCAAGTGTCTGGCCCCTGTGACGGCACTACCGTCGAACATTCCTGTAACTGGTAGTCAAACAAATACATTTTAAGGTAAACATATGGTGAAAATTGTACGAATTAAACAAACAGCGCAGTTTTGGGTAGTGCAAAGCCCGTCACCCTTGCACAGTTTGCTGCGCAACTAGGAGCAACTAACGCGGGCAAAATGACGTTTGCGCTAAATGTGAGGTGTGCTTGCGCATTGAACACTCAGGGAAAGAGCTACAAATTTCTCTCCGCTAGTCGGACGCATCATTGAATCGCCATGACGTTCTTTGCTGGCTCACTGGCCTGAAGAACAGTGAAAACGTGAGCAGACACAACAGCTCTGCACTTTGCAAGGAAAGACTTCAGTTTTACCGATTTCCGTAGCTATCACGAAGCAGAACAGCGAGAATGCTGGATACGAGCTGTTGTGAATGTGTTGGGCAAGTGAAATACTCCCATTCTCCACAGCCAGTTGCATGAGAAAGCGTGATAATGTAGGTCTCCTATTACTGTTTTGAGTAGCCTTGATGGAGAACTGTGATAACTTTGATTATGAAGCTCAACAGAGCCTGACTGCAGTGCG